TTAATCCAATGGCCGATGTTTATTTTCAAATTGATTCAGTGTAGAGATGCTGAGTTAGGTAAAGGTAAAACCGTGGATTTGTCATTATAAGGGAAAGTTGTCTCCATTCTAATGTCAGACATCGAGAGTGTTACTTAAGCGATAACGTAGTGCTAACGACATGTCTGACAGCGATGTCGTGGACGTCATCATTGAGAAACTGGACGAGCTGTCACTATCGCTGTCACTTGATGATCCACTGTCGCTCGATGTTTCAGTTGAAGCATGGCCTTTCTTAGCTAAGGGCGGAGATTGTACTGTTGGAGTCGGAGCCATGAATTTACTCAATTCAGCGTTGATTCTTCGAAAATAGGCGTCGTCGCAGTGTTTCTCATGGAACGGTAATTCCACCTCAGGAACAACGTGACGAGAATCGAAGCGACATCTGAAACGAATCCAGAGGCTCTTGTTCTTTCGTTTATCCAAGAGAATGAAAAAGAACTGGGAAGTTAATGAATCAGCGTCTTGACTCTTATCCTGTGGGGCGGAGATTCTCAAGGGGCGGGGCATCCATACACACCTACCTACACCGAGCTGGTGGAAATTGTCGGAAGTTCGGAAGGGAAGAATGCGTCAGTACTGCGAAGGTGCCCGTCCTGGAAGGCGAAAGACGTGTGCTCACTCGCCTCTCAGTGAGGGGCGAGCGTATAGTTGATAAGGTCGCAACCAATAAGGTCGCAACCAGTCGGGGCAGTGTCAGGAGGGGCGGGATGAGCCTCCCTCCATCCCTCCCCCCTACTAAGAGTGATCGATTAGTGATCAGCTTAGGAAGGAAGCAAACAGCAGTGGACGGTCTTGTTCGCGGGAGACGGTAAAGAGGATCGTAATTCGCCGCACCGCCACGCCGCGATGGGCGCGGCGTTTTCATAACTCGTTTTAACCTGTCGAATGAAGCACCGGACTTCATGTAGACCCCGTCATCGTAGACACTCATTACTGTTTTCGGTTGCATGTTGTCGCCATCTACTGCCTGAAACCATCGTCCTTTGCGGGCGGGACGTCGCACGCGACGCCCAGCAGCGCGGCAAATTACGATCCTCTTGTCACATACCCCTTGTTCGCTACGGATGAAGAGGCGTGACAAGTGGTTGGGTTTGGCGTCACGCCGTCGCGTCGTTCCAGCAGTTCTTGAAGCGAGCAAGCGACAAGCCCGTGTCACATCGTTTGCAACAGTCGTTTTCCACCAATCGTCGCTTGCCCGCATTAACAGCAGGTGGAAAACGGGTTTTGCGCTGCGCCGAACTCAACTGACACGCTCCCTTCATCCGCAGCGAATGAGACTACCTGTTTTGTAGAGTCTGTAGAGGATTGGTGTAGTGTGCACGATAGTGTGGGCAGGTGTAGGTACGTATAGTGTCGAATTGTTGTTGTTGAATTGAATTGTTGAAAGTTTTTTTTAAACGCCTCATCCCCACTGGCCCCTTGAAAAGGGCCGGTACTTTTGCTTTTCGGCAAAGGTGGCCGAGAAGCAAGGTATTTTTGCTATTTTTGCTCGAAGGGCATCATAATGCCCTTTTGAGCAAAAAACTCGTCCCTAAGGGGACTCCATGCCGGTTTTTTTCGTGATTTCTTAGTGATTTTTTCGCGATTTTTTCGCCTTTTTCGCTTTTGAAGGTACGGGGAATCTCGTCCACGTAGACGGATAACTCGTCCACTGCCCCAAGAGACGGAAAACTCGTCCGAAAGGCGGACAACTCGTCCACTGCCGGTTTTTTCGCGAAAACGCTGCGGGGAATCTGTTGAAATTGTTGACGAGGCTGAAAAAAGCTCCAGGTGATCCTTTGTGCAGTATCCTGGGTGCCTGATCGATCTAGCTGTATTGGCAATGTAAAATAGCAGCGGTCAAGAAGCTTGGTAACTCCAGTCGTTATCACTGATAGTTAGTCGGGGCGTGAGCTTTTGACTTGGCGCCAGTTCCATTGCACCATTCACTGGACGCCCCGAATCGTGACGATTGATGGAAGACGGGCTAGCGCTACGCCAAACCGACGCCCTACTGACACACCCCGACTGACCTCAACGATGAAGATTGTATCACTCTTGTGGTTAGCTGAGGTAACCCGTAGCGAAAACTCTGAGTTATGAAGACCAAACAATACCTGACTACTTTAATATTTGGTGAGTTATTAATGTATTCCATGCGACATGATCGTAAATGTCCAGGAAATGCAGCCGGAGAGACGTGATGAGCTCGAGAATACGGACAAACTATCAAAGCGGCACAGTCTCCCAATGCTCGTGTATGTCGTGGACACGTCATGTGCTGAAATTGCAGTTATTAAACTCAGCGTAACTCTTTCAACCGCTAAGTAGCTACTGGTTAGCATATCGGCTGAGGACAGGATATGTCGGTCTTATAGTTAGTTGGTGGTGCAAGAAGACTGTACTT